TTGCAGGAAATGGATGGAACTAGAAGAAACCATTCTGAGCGAAGTAACCCATCACAAAAAGACAAACATGGCATGTATATGCGGATTTTAGACATAGAGCAAAGGATTACCAGCCTACAATCCACACTCTGAGAAGTGAGTAAACAAGGAGGAACCTAAGAGAGTCATACATGGTCCCCTGGAGAAGTGGAAAGGGTCAAAATCCCCTGAGCAAATTGGGAGCATGTGAAGAGGGGGGAGGGAGCTAGGAGAATCAGAAGGGGAGAAGAGGAGGGATGCAGAGGACATGAGGGAGCAGAAAGTTTGAGTCAGGGGAAGAATAGAAAATAACAAGAATGGAGATACCAAAATAGAGGGAGACATTTTATGTTTACAGAGAAATCAGGCACTAGGGAAATGTCTGGAGATCTACAAAGATGACACCAGCTAACATCTAAGCAACAGAGGAGAGGCTACCTTAAATGCCCTCCCCTGATAATGAGATTGATGACTGACTTATGTGCCACCCAATAGCCCTCTTCCAGCAGCTGGTGGAAGTAGAAGCAGACGACGACAACTAATCAAGGAACTGAACTGGAACCCAGTTGCAGAGAAGGACTAATGAAGAGCAAATTGATGCAGACCAGGCTGTTGAAACCCACAGAAACAGCTGACCTGATCATCGGAGAACTCTTGCTCCCCAGTCTGGTAGCTGGAATACCAGCATGGGACTGATCCAGACCCCGGGAACATGGGTTTCAGTGAGGAAACCTTGGAAATCTACAGGTCCTCCTGTAGAAGTTCAGTACTTATCCCTAACATAGGTGTGTACTTTAGGAGCCCATTCGATATAGAGCAATACTCCCTGAGCCAAGACACATGGGGGTTGGCTTAGGTGCTATCCCAAAGTATATGATAGACTCTGATGACACCCTATGGAAGGACTCACCCTCCCTAAGGAGCAGAAAGGATATGTGATAGGTAGGGTTTTAGTGGGGGGGGGGATAGGGGAGGACAGGAGGGAGAAGGGAACTTGGATTGTTATGTAAAACAATCCTGTTTCTAATTCAAATAAAAAAATTAACAAAGATCAAATGGCAACACTCTGTAATTACCTTCTTAATAACTTTCCTATGCAAAATGATGTTCCTTGGCTTCTTTCATAAAATTAGCTGTCATAATTCTCTTAAAATGACAGGTATAGCAGACAGCATTTATTGACAGTGGCTATATGCTAGCTACAATGCTAATGACTTGGCATGGCATTACTTTTCATTTTTTTCACTTTTGCATGTGTGTGAATGCATGCATGTACATGTATGTGAGTGTGCCTGCACCAATGACAACTTTGTTTATTGATCCTCTATACCACATCTTGCTTTTATATTAATATCTAAATGCAGGATCTCCACATATGCACAGAAAGCACTGAACTAGCTCCCAATGTGCTTCACATATGTTTGTATGTTTGATAACTTAATAATGGTAACCTCAAAGAGACTTGTTGCCATTTGGCAGACATAGGAAGGAAAGCAAAGTTAATGGTTTCTTCATGTTTGCTAGTTATTCTATATTAAAGAACCTCAGCTTATAAAGGAACCCTCTGACCTATTCTGCTGTAGCAGGAAGCACAAGCTGTAGTGGTAGCATAAATAGTCTAAGGATCCACTTTACTATATCCAACATACTCATTTGTACAGAGAACCAAGCATGTAATGGACACCTAAAAATGTTATTTTCAGATGAATGAGCTAGCCCATAATGATCAGTCTGCTTGTTCTCTCCATCTTAGGCAGAAAAGTTTTCCACACAGTCTTTCCTTGTAATCTTTCTAGTATTTAAGACTATAGAGAGATTTATAGACAAGTTTGGGAGTCTAGGTTCCTGAGTCACCAAATTACCCTGAGTATTGATCCATTCCACCTTGCCAAGAGTTGTATCCCCAAAAGGAGTCATAGTAGAGGATAAATCAACAAATACAGAACTTACAGGTAGATCTTTTTCCTCATTTGATAAAATAAGTTGGACTTGGGTGCTCCTTAGTCTAATAAAAAGCAGCCATAGGTACCTCAAAGTCATCTAAATAATGGATTCATACATATGAAAATATGAACTTAAATACAGCACCTGAATCATTTCACAACCAGTTTCTGTTATAATGATCCAAAAAGTACAGAATCTTCATTCTAAAAATAGACACCTTATAAAAATTGGCATTGACCACACTTAAAGATGAACTTGGATTTGTTTAGAAACAAAACACCAAAGCACTTTAGCTGCTAGTATCTATCTAACTTGCCAAGGATAAAAGGAGAGTAATTGGATAATTGACAATGATTAGAAAGAGATTTGTCCTTTAGCCAGCAAACCCATTCTATATGTCAGCCACAAAAGTAAAAAATAGTGTGTTCTTTATCCAGATTTTATTATGTGCTGAATTCTTTGATTTATGGTAATGGGGGGAGGATAAAACTTACCACTACACTACCAGAAAGTAATTACACAGTAAAAATAAAATAACAGGTAGAAACATCCTGATTATTTAACATGCAGACAAATCTCAGCTGGGAACTGTTTTAGTAAGTTCACAAATGATACAAGTAATTTTGGAAGAAGGGTAAGTCCTTGTCCTAACATATTTACAGATGTAATAAGCACACCTCCTTTCTAATCACATCACAAGAACTGTTTTGAAAGGAAATATAATCTCTGAAGAGATTACTTTTACTTATCTCAGTAAAAATAGTGACTCTATGATAAGCCATGTTCTTAACAAAACCTCCAGCTACATCCTCAAACTAGCTAACATTGGGTGGCTCTAGCAGGTGGTAGATGGACACTAGCCTTTAATAAGAGTATGCACCCATGTGTTCTTAAGAAGCACAGTTTTGAATTTGTGTTTCCATGAGAATCATATATCATGGGATGTAGAGAAAGACTTTTTACTTATTTAGTAGGGTTCTTAATTTATAGACAAGTGAATTGTTGTCCAGACACCTGAACTAAATTATTGAAAAGTTAAGAGTTGGTTAGGGAGGGCAGAAGAGATTTACATATGTGTGCCCCATGCATTCTCACCTTTGCCTGGACAAGATCCAGCTTACAATCTTCCTGTTACAGTGAGCCCTAACACCAGGGTCAAGGTTGGAGCTAAAACTAGTACACTTCAGGTTGTTGGCTCCCTCTTTCTTAAAAAGTAAACAGCTCTGCAAATTTGTTGGAAGAAAAACAAGAGCTAGATTGCATGTCTGTAGCACAACTGATACTGTAGAAGTGTAATGAAAAGCATTCCTCATCTAATGTGATTTTGAGAGAGATAGTGTGAGGAAGCTGAATTTCCCCATCTGGAGATTCTCAGATGACAAAACTTACAAATTAATATGAATGTACAGATCTGGAGACTGAAGGAAATCAGGCCAAGCCTCAGATAGATTCAGTTGCTGACCATAAGATGGACTGAAAACAAAGACAACATCAAATCCTGCAACTCACTGCAATCCATTAGGACAACACCAGAGCACCCAAGGGAGGCAAAGGGTGTCAGGAAAGTCAGACCTTGATTCCCCCACCTGTCTTTTCCTTTCTCCCTCTTTCTCCAGTTGGAGGTCTTTTTTTTTTTTTTCTAAATCTAGGACACCTTTGCTTCTACTCTACAGTTTTATTTATGTCCTTCACTGAATTCAGAACCATAGCAAGATATTTAAAACATGCTTTGAAAAGGAAGAAAAGAAAGCCCTTCTGAGAAGAAAATCAACATAACACAACAGTTGCTTTGTGGAATAAGGTCAATTTGTCTTTTTCAGAACCTGATAGGGAATTAGCTTTCTTCACGATCCCACGATCGTGAAGATCCCTCACGATCTCCAGCTTGTATTTCAGGGATGCCCTGTAAAGTTTTGTACATGATCTGTGGTGAGAGTGTGATGTTTAGGACAGATGGCACAGGACTCTCAAGCACAAGCTGCCTCGGGAGCTGGACATGCATACTGGGCATACTGAGCACTTCTCTCCTAGAAGTCTCCCATGGTTTAGCCCTCTGCAAAGGGCTGAGATTGTTTCAAAAGTTCAAAATTGATTTTTTATGGAGAAAATAAGTGAAGAAATTCCAGCTGAGAGATAGATTCTTTGATTAAATGTCAAAAACAAAAGTAAAAACAACAGCCCTTCAATAGTTGGTACTTTGGAAATTCTACAGAGTGCGAAAAAGATGGCTGCTTCAGTGTAAAAGAATATCCACTTCTTGAGAATTTTTATTTTTTGTAAATTTCCATGGATTTTAAAATGTGTTCCTGTGCTTGGCATTGCATATTCATTCGTGCTAAATAATGTAACACTTGAAAGAGAAATCTCAAACTTTTACGGATTGTGGAACTACTAAATGCTATAGATATTTCTAAATAATCCTGTCTTCTGTGCCATCACTGATCCTGTGGGTATGACACATCTTGTTGGTGGCTCAATTTCCTAATGGAGAAAGAAAGGTTCATCTTCTTCATCAGAAGACCTGCTCATGTATAAATGATTGATTTCTTGTGGTTCAACAACTTAGTGAAGGGCCTTGGAGCAGTTTCCCAGGATTTACTGCTACTAGCTCTGGAAAATGACAAGGTATGGTTGTATATTTATCCCAACACTTCTGTACCCTTGTTGGACATTTTGAACAGCTTAGATGTTTTTCAGGTTTTTTTACCTTAAAGGTGAACCTGATAAATTTTGATTACAATGCAAGGTTCTTGAAAGAGACTATTGTCATTTATATTTTAAACTGAAAAAAAAAGAATTCAGTAAGGAGAGCATTTATAAAACTGTGCAGGGAAAAAGGATTGGCAGGAGTGGGAGGGCATGGAAAGGCAGAGGAGTATTGAAAATGCACTGAAAGTACATTATATATACACATGTAATAAACATTAACAAAGAAATGTCTAGAATAACTATATTCACAAATACCTTTCCCTTCCCTAGAATCTACACAACATTCCCTTTGTGGAAATGAGAGTGGAAGACTTTGCAGAAGCCCTTACCGACTTCCCACTTGAGAAGGCTGTTGTCCTCCCTCTCCATTTTGCCAATGACATACCAGATACATGCCATCCAGTGTGCAAGGAGAGCAAACATGGACATGAGCAGGGTGAGGACTATTGTGCTGTGCTGAGAATAACGGTCCAGTTTCTGCAGGAGGCGCAAAAGACGTAGCAGCCGGACAGTCTTCAAAAGATGCACAAGGGATACCTGTGTTGGGGACAGAGAAGCATGGCTTGGCACAGAAGCTATACTCAAGGCACAGTGTTTTATTTAACCCACACCCAAGTTTCTGAAATTAAGAATGATGGTAGTTTCCCCCTGTGGCCATACTGATGAGTGTTTCTGCTTCCCAGATACTATATCAAAAGGTGAAAAGACAAAGTATGGTAGACTAAAAGTTACATATGCTAATTTAATTTTTCCTGCAAACATTGACTTTATTAATTATAATCGACTCTTTTTTATCTGATTGTATATGGTTTTGTACATAACACTGTCTAACTAAGACACACTGCGTATAATCTGTCTCTGTCACCTTGGACATTTTCTGTCAATTCTATTTTCCCTCTACAGAGAATAGATTTGTGTTGTAAGTAATCTGTACATAATAAAAGTAATTTTAATTAAAATTTTGGTGCTCATTTTCTGACGCTGGGTTTTCATTAAAACCATGCTGACCTGGAAAGTTACTGAGCTAAAAACTTGAGTACCAGTGGCACCTTCATTGTCATTTGCTAAACTGCCTGGCTTCTACCACCATCAAGGAACAGAGAAAAAAATTCAATGAGGCATTCAGACTTGAAGCTGTCTCTGGAGTTTCACAAAGGAGGGGGCACCTGTGTGTAGGCAGAAGAGAAGGCAAGGGAAGGGAGGAGAAGGGAAAGAGGGGAGGGGGAAGGTGAATGAAGAATGGGAAGAATGAAAGGAGGAGGGAAAGTAAAAAAGGTTTAAGAAAAGATTGTATTGTATTTAAAAGTGGAATAATTCACAAAATTAGGAATAACTACAATTTTGTTGAATATCTGTTCATACATTGAGAATTGAATGCCTTATATCTTAATGACTGATCCATTCATTCTTTTTTGTGCATTCATTCATATATCAATTATTTGCTCAAGTCTTTCAAGAATTAGCAATTTCGCATTCCGGCCCACACAGAATGCGGAGAGTCCAGAGGTGAGCTTATTCGGACCCTAACTTGGGCCCAACTTCCGCCTGCCTGCCCTGGCAAATCCCGCCCTGGGAAAGAATCGGTCCCTGAGGACCCTGGGATCCTGTCTCTGCTGAGATCTCTGGGCCATTCCGGCCCCCACAGAGTGCAGAGAGTCCAGAAGTGAGCTGATTCGGCCCCTAACTTGGGCCCAACTTCCATCTGCCCACCCTGGCAAATCTTCCCCAGGAATCTTTGACAGGACAACTCGAACCCTGAGGACCAAGTAACCCAGAGTCTGCTGACATCTCTGAGCCAGTGCTGCTCTCACCCGCCTGGAGAGCGAGTGCCTCAGACCTGCCTGCACCCAACTTGAAACCCATCAATTGCACACACCTGATGAGAACACCAGACCCATACACACCAGAAAAGAAAGTGACACCAACTGTACCCACTGGAACAAGAGACGGGAAGACAACAATATAAGACCACATCCAACAACAGGAAAACCAATATGATACCACCAGAGCCTAAGGACTCTACACCAGCAAGACATGAACATCCAAAACAAAATCAGAAATGAAAAGGGGGACATAACAACGGACACTGAAGAAATCCAGAGAATCTTCAGGTCATACTTTGAAAACCTGTACACCACAAAATTGGAAAATTTAAAGAAAAGTGACAAGTTTCTGGACAGATATCACGTACAAAAATTGAAGGAAGAACAGATAAGCAACTTAAACAGACCTATAACCTCTAAGGAAATAGAATCAGTCATCAAAAGTCTCCCAACCAAAAAAAGCTTGGGGCCAGATGGATTCACCGCAGAATTCTACCACAAATTCAAAGAAGTGCTAATACCAATACTCCTCAAATTGTTCTACAAAATAGAAGCAGAGGGACACTGCCAAACTCTTTTTACAAGGCTACAATAACCTTAATACCCAAGCCATACAAAGACACAACTAAGAAAGAGAACTACAGACCAATATCCCTCATGAACATTGATGCAAAAAATTCTCAATAAAATCCTAGCAAATCGAATAAAAGATCATATCAGAGAAATCATCCACCATTATCAAGTAGGCTTCATCCCAGGGATGCAAGGATGGTTCAACATACGAAAATCTATCAATGTAATCCACCATATTAACAGACTGAGAAAAAAAAAAACACATGATCATCTCACTAGATGCCTAAAAAGCCTTGACAAAATCCAACACCCCTTCATGATAAAGGTCTTGGAGAAATCAGGGATAACAGTTGCAGACGATATGATAGTCTACATTAGTAACCCGAAAAACAATACCAGGGAACTCCTACAGCTGATAAACACCTTCAGCAAGGTAGCAGGATAGAAAATTAACTGAAAAAAATCAGTAGCCCTACTATACACTGATGACACATTGGTGGAGAAAGAAATCAGAGAAACATCACCCTTTACAATTGCCACAAACAACATAAAGTACCTTGGGGTAACACTAACCAAAAATGTGAAAGACCTGTACCATAAGAATTTTGAGTCTCTAAAGAAAGAAATTAAAGAAGATACCAGAAAATGGAAAGATCTCCCATGCTCTTGGATAGGTAGGATCAACATAGTAAAAATGGCAATCTTGCCAAAAGCAATCTACAGATTCAATGCAATCCCTATCAAAATCCCAACACAATTCTTCACAGACCTCGAAAGAACAATTCTCAACTTTATATGCAGAAACAAAAGACGCAAGATAGCCAGAACATCCCTATACAATAAAGGAACTTCTGGAGACATCACCATCCCTGACTTCAAACTCTATTACAGAGCAATAGTCCTGAAAACAGCTTGGTATTGGCACAAAAATAGACAGGTAGACCAATGGAATAGAATTGAAAACCCGGATATTACCCCACACACCTATGAACACCTGATTTTTGACAAACAACCCAAATCTATATGGTGGAACAAAGAGAATATCTTCAACAAATGGTACTGGCATAACTGGATGCAGACATGTAGAAAAGACTACAGATAGACCCAAGACTATTGCCATGCACAAAACTTAAGTCCAAATGAATCAAAGACCTCAATCAACATAAATCCATCTACACTGCAACTATTAGAAGACAAATTGGGAAATACCCTTGAATCAATCGGTACAGGAGATTGCTTCCTGAACATTACACCAGTAGCACAGGCACCGAGGTCAACAATTGATAAATGGGACCACCTGAAACTGAGAAGCTTCTGTAAGGCAAAAGACACAGTCAGCAAGACAAAACTGCAGCCCACAGACTGGGAAAAGATATTCACCAACCCCACA